AAAAGTACATTAAGAATATTTAAAAGCTTAAAGGTTTTAATTTAGCCAATTTGGTTAAAAAACATGCCCTTTGGAATTTTGATGACTTTATTAAAACTAATTCTACTCCCTCCAAACTTGGAGAAAATGCCATCTTAATCGCGTTACGTTTAAAATATTACCGCTCTGACATTAAAGAGACTTTAGTAAACAAAATAAAACTCTTACGATTCTCAAGGTAATTTAGTCTGTCGCAAATATATTTTAAATTCAAAACGTCAGTTAATAAGTTTTAATACATAGATTTAAAATTGCCTTTAGGAATATAAAATTAAAACTAAACGGTTTTAATATAGTTTTAAAATTTAGTCTTGAAAGCCCTTTTTGGATGATAATGTCACCAGTTACCACTACAAAAGGAGTTAATATCCATTAATTTTTACATTTTTTACGTTACAAATTTTATTTGTGTAAGTATAACCGTTCAAAATATATAGGGGAAGAGGGTACATTACATATTTGTATAAATCTTTGGAAAATTAACGTATTATAAGAATGCGTGCCCAAATAATAGACAATCAATTTTATTAAGTGCTCAATCTAGTTCAGATGTTACATAAGTGATTCATTTTTTTAATATTCTTATTACAAAACGAAATTATCGTGATCCTATTTTAAGATTCACCGCCAAAATCATTTCGATGCTATTAGTGAACATGTTCGACCTTGTTCCCATCGATAGGTGATATCGAAAGGTACCTGCACTCGAAATAAATTGTTATTTCTTCACATGCCAAATTTCGTCAGACAAATTAGGACCTATTGTTAAATTCGAATTAGATTAAATAGCCGACTTTTTTATAAACAACCAGTCGAGTTTTTGCTTGTCTCTGTCGATATCTTTGTTTACAGAGGTGGACCAAGGTCCATTTCGCACCAACAATATAAATTTTAATCAATTTTTTTTTTAAATCAAAGGGCTTCTCTCTCCTTATAGAGGTTTAATTTTGTTTAAAAAACGTGACATCGCATCGCATGGATGGACATACCTACAAAGTAAATCTATAATACCCATCACAGACTACTGTGTGAAGAGTATAATAATGTGTGTTTAACGATACCTAATATACTGAGAGGGTGAATTTGTTAATAGTCGGAAAATTCCCTTGGGGGTTTATTGACACCCTATTTGAACCTATAAGTGATTGTCTTTCAAGAATATTGTAAATAGTATTTGTAGTTACTTAAATTATGCTAGAAAATAAATATATTTTTGTTCTTATCCTACACGTTTTTCCGGTACAGTACAGACTGTAATTAAGTTTGCGATAAAAGCGTTTAAAATAGCATTATAAATCAGTAAGTACGCAATTATGATTAGGTACCATATCTATAGATCTTACAATATTCTACCACGCACAAAAATAAAAATAGTTTCCGATATACATACGTGGATATATCGAAAAACTTCTAGAATGAGATGAAAAAAAAAAAAAACTTTTTGTATTTCATATCAAACCGATTATATTTGTGTTCGCCCATGGGCGTCTGGAGGGGGACAGGGGGAGACGGTTGCTTCCCTGTCTTTTCATTTTGTTAATTCACTATTATTATTTTTGTATACATATGCAATTATGAAACTTTTTTTGATTGACTTTTTTCTTGCGGACGCTTATGGGTCGACCTAGAAATCTGAAAATAATTTCCTGCGTTTTTTTAAGAGTTGTACCTAGCTATTCTTATTGTACCAAACGGTACAGCAGTTCCTTTACATAATGCGTGAATGAAAGCGGATAGGGCCCTAAACTTGTTTTATATTATATATAATCGCAATCATTAGGAAAGATCAGATCATCCTACTTATTACAAGCATAAAAAATATGAACTGCCTCCTTTGTGTTGTGGTACAACAATTACAGTTTCCACTAATGCATACAAAGTATTAATCTATATTTTTAAGGATTATTTTAATTAAAAAATACCTGCACCTAATGTGTTAATTATTTGAAGGTGTCTCAACAATTCGGTATCTGGTGATCTATTTTTATAATCTAACCCGATGGTTTTCTTCAGGAAACGTTAAAAAAATACATAACTAATTTCTAACAGTGAGGCAGCAAACAAAATAAATATAAATGTATAAATAAAGTATACGATGTATAATTAAAAAGGGAACAGTGTAATACAGGTGAAGCAGCAGGTGCACGGTCAATAAGGCAATAGAAAAAATACAATGGTAGGTGTCTTAAAAGTTGTCTGTATCTTATTTGGAAAAGAAGAATTAATTATTGAAAAGTTGGTTTTTATCCCCATTATTTTTAACTTTGTCAACATTCTATTCACTTCTCCAATTTTGAAAAATGACTAGTTAAACTGTAAGTTTTTTTTCTGTTTAGAATTGCATAGTATTTCGTGATTGATAACGTTAATAAAGATGATGATGATGTTAAATTAAAAGAACATCATAAAATAACGCGCCATTGACCATTTCCTGGTGATCATGATACAATTTCATTAATTACAGAGTTAATGTAATAACACGTTTTTAAACTTGGCCTAGAAGCGGATAATAATACCTTTTTTAGTTTATTGTTATAAATATTGAGATAAATTATTGAAATCTATAAGAAAACTTTTGGAAAATTAACGTTTAGATGGTAGTTTTTAGAACGATAATGAAGATTTTTCCAAAATCCGGTTATTAAAGTTGAAAGTAGCGATTTTTCAAAATTGATAGTGATTTCATAAAATTTAATAGCGATTTCCTAATTTTTAAATAATATATTCAGTTCTTTATTTGTTATTAACTGATTTCATTTGAGTACTCAAACGAAAATAAACAGTGGTGCACTTAAGGAGGGTTTTGGGGATTACAAAGAAATGTATCTTAAAATACTAAAATTGCAGACTGTTTACTAGGTGCAAAAAAGCCTGTTGTTGGGGTTCGGTTCTTGGGACTAAGGCAGTTCGGGTCGAGTTATTGAGACCAAACTTTAAAAATAGGAAAATGTCAAGAAACAAATTCGCCCAGCTCACCCTCTAGATGTTATGGAGGGGGCGTCACTCTAAAAAAATTAAGTTACAATTTTTTCAATAGAATAGTTGGACTTTGTAAAATTTTCGACCTGAACTGTCATAGTTTGGATGTGGCGGTTGGTATTTAAAAATAGTTATAGATGAGATGAAAATTTAAATTTTTGACACATTCACAATAGACCTGATTTGCAACGTTTTTGCATAAAAATCTTACCACCATCATCCCCTAGCGGCAGATCGAGGAGGTGGTATCCCTAAAAGCTTAGGTTAGAACTTTGTAAAAGAATCAGTTAAAATTTACGATTTTCTCTACATACATACCCAAAATTTCAGATTTTTTGATTTTTTTTTCTTGTCTTTTAGAGATTTAGAAATTTACCAATTTATCTTGTATTGACGTAAGATTAAATATTTTTTTATTAACGTAAGACGAAAATCCATTCTCTCCCAGATTTCTATTTTTGTTTGAATTTTTTGTGTATTACATTTATTTTAGCTGTTATGCAACTCGAGATGCAACTAGAAGTCCCTCGTGCAGGGTAAACCATATACAGTTTAACGTTTCTACCATTAACTGATTAGTATTTTACTTGCAGTTAGTTCCCTAAATCATATACCTAAATCACAAATGTACCAATTCAAATTTCATGGCTCATCAAGCCAAAGAGACAGCTTCTCAGGGAAATGATGAGTCTCTCGATCCTGCATTAACGAATACTATGAGTTCTGAGCGGACGAGCGATACTACTGATCCTATATTTTTTTCAAATGATTTAATCAGTTTTTCAATTATTTTTGTCAAAAAAATTTTAAATTTGGTGTTCATATGTAACAAAAATAGTAAATTTTGTTTAAAAAATTCTAACTTAATTTTTTTAGGGATGCCATCCCCTCCATCTTCATATGGGAGATAGTGGTGGTAAGATTTTTATATAAAAAAGTTGCAAATTAAGTCTATTGTAAATGTCCCAAAAATTAGATTTTTATCTCATCTCTAGCTATTTGCAAATGCCACATTTAAACTATGACAGTCAATATTAATTATTAAAAAACATTTGAAATGTTGGCTTTATATGTAGAAAAAATTGTAGATTCCAACTGTTTTATTGACAAGCATTAGAAATTAAAAAAAACCGACTTCAAAAACGTGCAGATGCCATCACCACATCTTAACCAAATTTATACGGGATCACCCCTGAGGTACCCCCTTGCTAACAAAAAAAGTATCATTGAAATCGGGCACCTTGTTAAAGAATTATCGCTTAACATACATAAAAAAAAATTACGACGAATTGAGAACCTCCTCCTTTTCTGAAGTCTGTTAAAAATATTGTAACTTTATTTTTTGAGGGTGACATCCTATCCATATTAGCTAAGGGGTGGGGTGGGCGAAATTTTTTATGCGATTTTCATATTTTTGGGATAATACCAAGTTTGGTCTTGATAACTCGACCCGAACTGCCTAGCTCCAAGAGCCGAAGCCCAAGCAAAGCCTGCCAACTCTGGTTTAACTTTTTAATTTTATTTTAACTTTTTTTGAAGGGTGGACAAACGAACATTTTTACAAAAATTCTCTTTTGGCGATGCTCACTTCGCAAAGACCTTTAATTTTTACCTTTGGTAATCCATTTCTGTCTTTTTTGTTCATATTTTTTATTTTTTTATCAATATAATATGTTTATTTATAAATAGTTCCTACGGTTTCTTATTTACATTTTTCGAGTTATAAATTTCTATTCAATAATTTTTTGTTGTTTTTTAAAATTGATTTAATTGAAGAAGGTTATCCACCTAAAATTGATTTTATTTAAATCACTCTTTTTCAAATATATTAATTTTAATGGCAACTGTAACTTTATTTAAAATAAAAGACAGCTACACACCAAGAATATAAAAATTATACACATTGTTTTGCTATAAATATCACACAAGCAGGCCGGCTATAAATGTGTTATTTGATAATTTTACGAATAAAAAAAAATTACCTGCAGAGGTTGTTCATTAAAAACTTACTGCAAGCTAATCCTAGATTAAGATATAATCCGTAAATCCTTAAAAATTGTCAGAGAAAACCACCCACAAAAACTGTCACTATGAATCGATTTTACGTTTTTTTTTTTAAAAAAATTCGGCCGAAATAGTCGTTAGTCGCCGCGCGAACTAAAACAACGTCAAAGATCGCGATTCGCGTTTACACTCAACTCGTAAGAGGCCAGAAAGAGACTACCATCACCATCGTATCGCCGCTGAAGCTAACAGTACCGAGTTGGGTATCGCGTTGGGTCTTGGGGTCCACCATCGACCGTACCATCGGTACACTAGTCTCTCCCATACACTATCACTTTTTTCGAATATGTATTCCCGCATGATTGATGTTATGGTTTTCTTCGAGCCAAACTGTGCTTCTTTTCTTTTCTGAATGTACATACTGTATATAAGGGTTGGGCCGTGGTATGACCCAATGGCGTACTTTTCATAAATCCGTCGGTTCTTTTGGCATATCTACCAATTTAAAGTCTTTATTCCAGGGACGTACTTGTTTGTATACTTATACTGAAATTTAAAATTCATTGCCTACAGTTATTTTTTAGTAAAGTAAGCCCTATTTGAGTATTTTGGAGTGTCACAAACCAAAAAAAATAAAAAAAAAAATGTTTTTAAAGGCGCCATTGTTCTTACAACTCTGTCAAATTTTTAACCAAATTAAGTAAACAATTCGTGCATTTAAAAATTCCTTCAAATGCGATTTCTATTCTCTGCCAGTGGCGGCTCTTAGTATTTAAAATGGGTGTTCACTTTTTCCATTAATTTTATCATTTGTAAGTTCGGATCAAAACTTTGTACAAGAGTCAATATCGCTGTATCATCATACTGTTTTCAAGCACTACAACTATAAATGAATATTTTAGTTAGTAAAATATTTTGTTTTTTATACGTTAAAAACCATCTATTAACATTGTTAGTTAGTAAACTGATTTTTCTTCATAATTTGAGATTATTTTTAAATATATATATCAGGTTATGTAGAAAGCTTCATATTGATTTTTGTGTAAAAAATTTTATATAAAACTTTACCTACCATTTTTTAGTTTTTATTGTAAGTTTAATCATTTTCACAATTTGTCACAGATGTCAAATAAAAAATGTATTTTTTAAATATCTTTTATTGGCGAATAAAATAAGAACTAAAATGTTTTAAATGTTTATTTTATAAGATCAGTCCCATCACAATACATAATATTATACAGACACAAACTAGAATAAAGATATATAATGCCTGGCATTCTAAATGATACTCTTCGCAGTTTAACAGAGCCCCTTAACCCCCATTTTCAACCGGATTGTTTTCACAATCAATAGGCCTCAACTCCTTATAGAGCTTGATTTCTACTAAAAATTTCATGTTGATATCGCTTTCCATTTTTGATTTTTTTTTTTTTTTTTAATTTCAACCCCCCTTAAATCCCCCATATTTAATCAGATTTGTTAAAAATCAATAGGCTTTGTCCCCTTATAGAGCTTGATTTTTGCTTAAAATTTTCAAGTTGATTTCATTTCTCGTTTTTGACTTATCGTGTAGACAAAAACGTGACATCGGACAGACAGACAAAATAAACCTATAATACTATTCACAGAATACTGTATGAAGAGTAGAAATAAAAATATATGAGGTAAAATAAACAATTTAAAAATGTCAACCATAATATTCAAGTTCTTTTATCAAAGGATACTAAAAGTTTGAAATAGCAGCACATAATAAACACAGAACACAGAAATCTGTGAACTAAACTAGTGAGATACATATCCTAATGACCCTTTCTAAGTGTATTGCACAGCACATTCCAAAGTATTCTTGCTTTCACTAATGTCCTACAATCATGGCTGCTTTTGCATGTCCAAGTTTACTAAAAAATAATGTGTTTTAATAAATAATAGAATAATAGTAATTTTGTTTAAATAGGTAAATCGGCTTCATCTGTATTTTAAAATTATTGTAGATAGTATATTAATATTTTGATATATACTTATAGGATTGATTAGCCAGAGCATGTAGATATGTGGGATGTGACTTGTTAAGTGCCTAATTAAAATCACAATTTATGTTTGATACTTATTTCGAGACTTTTTTCAAGATATTCTTTATTACCAACTGTAAACTAATTTACCAATAGCCTTATTTTTATTTAATACCTGTAGTGATTCAAATTACCATAACATCTAATATTTTTGAAAATACTAAATTATACAAACAAGGCAATAAAAAATGTCATTTAAATAAAAGATTTCTGGTTTGTATGCAACAAACGATCTTGGTTAGAGAGTAACACGATTGATAATAACTTTATATAGATAAATTATTTTTAAATTAGGTAAAATGTCTCATCGAGTATATTAAATTAACTGGTTGATCCATTTTTCCGATTCAGACTTTTAAAGTGAAAAACCATTTGCCTCTTTATCTTTATCAAATTGTACATTTCCATTTCCATAATGATGTCAAGAACTTACCTCATCAGAATAATAAAATTTTTCCTTTTAGTAGGTTTTGTGGGAAAAAAATTTACAAATTTTTTGCTTACTTCTTACTTAATAGTATTTACAATTGGGTACAAAATAGACCATTTTGAATTAGTCTTTGGATGGACTTAGGCACTGAAACAAAATATAAAATAAATTACAGTCGTAAAACTTTGTTAAAGGTAAACAATATAACCTTAAAAAGTTTTTATTTACCTTGCCTTAAAGAAATTTTTCGGGAACATTGACATACATCCTTCCAATTTATTAAAGTTGCAGTTCTCAATTAAACACATATTTTTAAATGATCACAAATAATAATACAATCTTAATTTTATTAAAACCTTTTTATAATGACGCGATAATGACAGGATAATGACAGAAAACGGAATGACAGTTTGTTTTATTTGGTACAGTGTTGCCAGAATATGTTTTTGTTATATACCAGATTTGTCTAAAAAATGTACCAGTTTCCTTAAATGTATCAGATTTTTCGAATTATATTTGCAGTAATATCTAATTCATTGAAGGGGAAAAATGGGGTGTTTATTGATAAAGAACCCAAACAAGGAACACAATATATATATATTTTACACGTGAACTCGCAGAATGTACTACATCTAGTACAATTGTGAATTGTACTAGACTGGCAACACTGGTTTGGCAACCTTGTTTGTGAGCGGCGCGCCAATTAATGTGTTCTTTGGCCGTTTGAAGAATCTGTTGGCGTGTTTTCTTCTCTTTTTAGCTATATGCATTCACCATATCGTCTCACTCGTGTTAGGCTCACTCATCATAATGCGCCACAGACACATGATACTTATGTATACTGTGCCACAGAGATGCGATCAGCCAGAGGACAATGATGTACCAAAAAATATAAATTAATACGTATGAAAATAAAATATTAAAATTAAATTTATATTTTTGTTATTTATGTAATTTTAAAATAATGTGTTTTTATGAAATTTAACTGGGTGTTTACTGCACAAATGAACCAATGGAGAAACCGCTCTTGCTGATACGTCTCATAACGCAAATTGCATATTGTATCTGTATTTGGTGAAAGTGGAGACCTTTTTCTATATATAGTGAACTAATTCTCAACCTGGTACATTTTTGTTAGCGCCCCCTTATGAAAAAAAAATTGTACGTTACTGATGAGAAGATTCAAGAAAATATAATTTTTTCTGCTCTGCTCTGCTCTGCTCTGTAGGTACAGCACTGGATGAAATAACTACATATATGAAATAAAGTTAATGACTCTTTCCAAAAAATATGTTAAGTTAACTTTTTGCCAAATTTTCTGTACCACCTTTTTGCTAATAAAACACCAATTAGTTTCTTGCTTGCAGGAAGACATCTTAATTCATTTATAATTATCAATTATCCATGCGACACTTGGTTATTGCGAGTGTTAATAAGGAGTTCCTACACTGTTTTGCCCTATCATGGAAGTCGTAATTATAAGGTATTTGTTTTTATCTACATTGCTTGCTTGGAATTTACAATAATTTCTTGTTCTGATCATAATAAATAGACAATTAGGTTTATAGCTCGATAAAGTATTGGTTAATATACGAGAATGCGTTTTTTTAGACACTTCTCTCTCAAGAACTTATGCTTATGAGGTTGCCAAATACTGAATTTCGAGTTGATTGACAATTACAAATAATTAGTTTATGAATAAAACATCCAGTGGTATTGACATATTAGTCAATTTATATTTAAAAACATCGTATTATTTTTTAAATACATAATTAAACGAAATATTAAATTGTCATCCAATATTAATACTATATTCAGGGAGACTGGTGTATCTCCAGAAACAGTCATTTAATTAAATGGAGGTCTTAGAATATTATTGATAAATGGTGTCAATAATTTACTTTTAATCCAACTTTTTAGTAATCAATTTTTGCTTCAATTCTAATCATCAGTTAGCTTTATAAATATTGAAAATATTCCGTTGATATAAAGATTAAATAGAATTAGACCGAGTATCGTACTTTGTGGGATACTGTAAGCTATTTGTAAATCACTATAGACACCACCTACTCTTGAACATTTTTATTGGTTTAAAAGGCAACTTTTAAATAATTTAACCTCCGTTACCTATTTCTTTTAAGGTATCAAAAAGTAAATGGTGACTGACAGACATAGTTTGCTTTCATCTAAAGCAGTTAGTATTTTAATAGATATTGCTATAATAGCATCTCCTGATGGAAACATATATATATAATATTATTTATCTCTATAATCTCTGTATCAGCAACATTAACAATCTCTATTATCCTTATAATGGAACTTCTTCTCTCCCCTAGTATGCAAATGCAGGCCTGAAGGACTGTCGAAGAATCCTCCTAAACTTAGTCGTGTGCGAAATAATATGCTCAGAATTATATTCTCGCTCCGGGTATTATCGATGAAGCTGTCAGAATAAATAGTATGCAAAATAAATTCCTGAGGTTTTGCCAGGATAATAAAGAGGGAATTTTAATAAGCAGTCGCACACACACTCTCTGGGGCAGCTAGCAAGGCATGACGAACGCTTATTAAATAAATGCCAACGAGGTCAAGCATTGTAATTCATGGAAAGTGGTGATAATACAAAAAAATATTTGAATTAAAAAGATGGGACTATGTTTTCGATATATTTTTATAATAAATTTAGAAAACTCAAATATTTTGATGT